GATATTACAAGCAGTGTCTTACGTGACTAAGTCCGTATAACGTGGACGTAAGCAGATCCTATAAACGATGAAATTATTAATAAGTACTTATGAGTGTAAGTAAAGAAGAGTTATAATAGTATGCCAACCACATTATATCTGGTTTATCCAGTAGCGACGAAGCCTTTTGCTCGATGCCACGGCTTCTCAGACAGGCTGGACACAATACTGGCTAAGACATTATTTATATCAATAAATTGTCTGACAACAACTATTATGATGTGAACTGGATTCAGTTGGCGAAGTGTAATTTTTTCGTTAATTGTATTAATGTTACAACACATTTGAATTAGGATAAGGGTTTGTTGACACAATAATAGATTTATTTTATTTACTTAATTAAATACAATAAGTTAATAAGTCTCAATTTTTTGATGGTTTACTGTTTTCGGGGGTATGTCATATATGTCATGGAATAGCTACAACGAAATTGATCTAAGTTTTATTAATTTATTTTAATATATATATATAAAGTACTATGAAGTGTCTACGTTCCAATTTAGATTGATTTAAGCGCCAGAAGTATAACGTCATGTTTTTTTGTTTTATAATTCGAGAAAATAATAACAAAAGGAATCCCAGTGTTGTTTATCAAAACTGAAACGAAGTTTATAGTTAGTGATGTTCAATATTTAAATAAATTATACGGTATAAAGATAACAATAAACAACATTAGCTCGCATGCTCTAATACGATAACTTGATATTTCAGATTATTTTGACATATCGCAAAACTATTTTTTGTCTCGCGAAACCAGTTTTAGCGTTGTAGTAAATACATTAGCTTCATATCAGTTATCAGCTTATTGATGCTTAAAGACTGGTTCACCGCGACAGGAACCTTGGAAACCAAAAATAGACAATATAAAGAATGAAAAAGACAAATTCTGTGTTTACATCCATTAGTTTTCAAACTATATTAAGTAAGATGATAACGCCAGATCTAATATTTTTGGTTGAATTAACTGAGAATTGGATACTCAGATACCCCATACGGAAAAGAATCTAAGGAATTATTGTATAAAAAATTATAAAAGCTTTCAAAAGAAATTCCCTATTATAAGTTACAGTATCAGCCATGCGAAAGTCTAGCATAATGGATACATCACAGTCAAATACTAATCAGGATGATCTGAGACCAAATTTCACAGATGTATTCAGGAGTATGGCCAACTAAACGAACTTATAAGTATACAGTCTCTATTTGAATGAATATATCCTGGTAAACCAAACTCAGGATATAAGTTGTACTTATCACTTCCTGTGGCGTGTTTTGAAATAATATCTTTAGTGGATGATTTTTAGTTTTATTAAAACGCACCAGGTTCCTACATCTAGATGTAGACGGTGAATATTAGTGTTAAAAGTTATCGTTACGGGTTTATGTCTGATTCTAGATTTATTTAGATCTTATTTCATTTTGTATGTTATGTAAGGCTTATGAATAGAGGTTAAATCTAACAGACCTCTATGTTGGCTTTCCTTTCGAGGGATACTTTATACTAACTACTTATCTTCCTTATTTATACACTAGTTGTAGTTGCCTGTCCTCTGTATGTTATATTTTTTGGGGGAGTGGCTAATTGTTTGATGTAAAAAAAGTAAACGATATTTGGGAGATGTTGTTCTACCATGCCTTCTTTTCTTCAGATCAAGTAAACATGACAGCTTTTTAAACATATATTCATATGCAACGATGTGGTATCCCAAACCAAGCTTTAGCCTTTAACTAAAATTCAACATTAGAAATTCTGAAGATTGTTTTGTTTTGAATTACCAATACTTACCTACATTCCTCCTTTGTTCGCTTGTTTGCAGTGTTCAGTGATTAGTCTCATTGTACGTCATGAAATCAAGAGTATCCTACACGTATTACTTTTCTATATTCCTCTTTTCTTTCTTTTTTTTTTGCTGTTTTACTTTTTCCGTGGATTAGCCTCATTGCACGTCATTGGATGTAGAGTTCCTTGTGCATATTTGTTTCTACATTCCTCTTTTTTTCCCCCTCGTTTACTGTATCTGAAGATTAGCCTCATTGCACGTCATGGGATGTAGAGTGCCTTGCGCATATTCATTTTAAGTTAAAGAGTGGGAAATCTTCGACTGACAATTATAAGAAAAGATAAAAACACTTTGACAGTAATCAAAACTTTAATAGGAACATTAGAATACGAATCTTTACTTTCACGGTAAGATAGATATTCCAACAGGTGGAGTCACTGTGACATATTGCTATTGATTACTCTACTATCTAAACAGGCCATTGCGCATGAAGTTGTATATATTCTGATTTTTAGTTCCATGCAGTCTTACATTGCTCAAAGCAGAGAATCTTTCAAAGTCATGCACCTTTAAATACTGGACTGAAAAAATAAACAACAACAAAAAACATTGGGTCAATATATTTTCACAGGATTGTTTAGAAACTTCTGATATTTGAAGATAATATAGGTCTTAAAAAATTGCTCAGGAACACAGAGTTATCTTCAATCCTGATGCAGGACAACAGGTCCTTTTGTGAAAACTTAGTTTCACATTAAAACAATTTCGCATAGGTGACGTGTAATTATATACCCCCAGAATTATGTTTTTGAAAATGAAACATTAAACTTAAAATATTCTCTTATCTACCACTTGGTCTTTAAGACAATAAATTAAACAAAGTATTTTCACACCACAGATAGCAACTGACTACCTAAAACTTACGTTAATATACTGAGCCAAAGGTTTAATTTCTGTCTTACATCTCATGCCACATCTTGTCCTTGACAGAAGATAACCTTAAAGATGTCTCAACAATTGAATCTAGAAAAGTGTGATCCTGATAAAGTTCATCTACGTCATTAAAGTCACGGACAAAAGCATTTTGAAACGATTAAGCAACAACAACAACATCTTGTCCTTGACAGAAGATAACCTTAAAGATGTCTCAACAATTGAATCTAGAAAAGTGTGATCCTGATAAAGTTCATCTAAGTCATTAAAGTCACGGACAAAAGCATTTTGAAACGATTAAGCAACAACAACAACAAAAAGTTTTAATGTTCCCATACTCAGGCACTCGATGCTTTCTATGTAATAATCAGTGACCTTAAAATAACTCATGCTATTGCAAGGGGACATATTAAAATATTTCCAATGACGCCTCAAAAGAATAATATTTTTTCCAGCCTTGTACAAATCACGTAGCTCCTGAAATATGTTAGCCCAACGCAATGGCAAAGACCACTGTTTGAGGAATGTGAGAAGTTGACCAAACAGCATGCGAAATCTATGATGAAAATTATGTATATATATATATATATAATTTTCATCACAAATAGATAAATGAGGTGAAATAAGTAGACAATGAAAAGTCCGTATTGGCAGTTTAAAAATGGTGTTTACATTTTGATACGTCTGAACATATATATATTACAAATCTTTTTACAAATTGGAATGGTATCAAAATTTTAGATACTAATCATAATTTTACTGGGCACGGATTTTACGAAGGTCAAAAATATGCTATCATATTTTTATTTTTCCTGTTTTGTTGGAAATTCCACGTAGGTTGTGTTGCTATAGTACGTAGACATTGACTTCTGTTCGGCTTAACAGGTCTTTGAAAATGGCAGCTGACGGTTATCGAAACGTTGGCCAGTTATAAATAATTTGGTTTTAAATAACATTTTTAAGAAACCTCCAACTCATTACAGCTCTAGCTGGAAGTTTAGGATATATGCAATATAGATATGTAAGAGTTGTTCATGCTTACACATTAATTTTTTTCATTTTATAATTGATATAGTTTAAGAAATTCACATGCTGTTTATTAATTTTTATTATGCTATTATGTTGAATATCGCTAGAAATTCAACTTAATTTTCATTTATTTAAATCAGAAATATCTTTAATAACAGCTGCTATTGTTTTTAACATTCAAAGATGGAGAGAGTTTATCAGGAATTAAAAGGTTATGTTTCTTTAACGGTACTTCTCAACATAATAATAAAAACCTGTTTATTGAGATGAAACAAATGATATGATAATCAAATGCTCCTATAATGGTAAATATTTTATTCTAACACACTTTCTTATAAAGGCCTTATTTACTATTATCTGTCTCGTAAGCTAAGATGGTATAGTTATTATCGCATTATAGAGGAAATGATCTTTTTTGTGCAGGAAGAGACTCGCTACATTTTTTAATATCATCAGATCTATAAAAATTGAAATGTAAATCTTTTAATGGCCGTTAAGATGTCTATTCTCACATATTTTGTTCCAATCAGCATCCGTGCCTTAAGGACATAATTTGATACTATTTCCAAGAATTACAAGAATTCTATACTTGCATGTTAATGTTGGCAGGGGCATAATCTGACACTGATTACTTGAATAGTAGGAATTCTTTATAACGTGTTATTGTTAATGAGGATATAAGCTGACGTTATTTCCTAAAATTATAATAATTTTTTACTTGCGTTTTATTGTTGGCAGAACATAATCTGACTCTGGAATTGTACGACTTTTTTTTATCAATGTGTTATTGTTGACGAGGACATAATTTGACACTAGTTTCAAGAATTATAAGAATTCTTTACTTGCGTTTTATTGTTGGCAGGACATAACCTGATTCTGGAACAGTATGACTTTTTTATCTAGATGTTACTGTTGACACTAGTTTCAAGAATTATAAGAATTCTTTACTTACGTGTTAATGTCAGCAGGGACATAATCTGACACTTGTTCCAAGAACTGTATGAATTCAACATGTTATTGTTGACGTATATATAGTTTAAAAGTAGTTTGAAGAACCGTAATAACTCTTTAATAACGTGTTATTGATGAAGATAACATAATCTGACACTATATATAGTTACAAGAGCTGTAATAATTTTTTTTATTACAGAGTGTTGACAAGACATAATCTTACACTAGTTACAAAAACTGCAATAATTGTTTACTTGAATGTCAGTGTTTACAGGGGCTTAATATGTCACTAGTTTAAAAAAATTAAGAATTCTTTATTAGCATATTATTCTTGATGAGGACATAATCTGACACTATTTACAAGAATTATAAAAATTGCTTAGCAGGTTAACGTAGACGGAAACATAATTTGTTACTATTTACAAAAAATGTAAGAATTTGTTATTAGCATGTTATTATTAACAATAACACAATGTGACACTAGTTACAAGTATTGTAAGAATTATTTACTTGCAATTTAATGTTGACGAGGAGATAATTTGACACTATTTACAAGAATTGTAATATTTTTTATTAGCATGTTATTGTTGACAATAAAATAACTTGACACTAGTTACAAGAATTGTAAGAATTCTTTGCTTGCATGTTATTGTTAACGAGAACATAATTTGGCACTAGTTAGAAGAAATGTAAGAATATTTTATTAGCATGCTAAAGTTGACGAAAACATAATCTGACACCGGTATGACTATTCTACTAATCTATACAGAAAATAACAACATGTACAGTACAACATTACTGGGAAATGTGAAGGCTCGTAATAGGGGAGAAATGTACTACATAGCAAACAAAGGAAAGGCTTTACAATATTATATATACCATTTAACTTTAGTATAGTATGATCATATGAAATCACAGGTATTTCGTTTCAAAGGTGTGCTTATAGATACAAACTGTCAAATTTGAAATCAAAAAGTGTAACATATGTGAACATTCTTTTATTTTCATTATTATTTATGTAGGTTAAGCACTTTTGACAGCATGTAGAATTCTTGAGAATCTACATTTCCCATGCAGACCATAGAAGCAAAACAAACTTTATATTACGCTGGTTTGTAGTAATTATTTCTTTACCCAAAGTTTACTTTATGTCTTACGTCCATATGCAGTTCATGGTGATCAGTAGCATACGTTGTGAATTCTTTCAATAGGTTACTTATTTTGACCAATTATTGCTAATCCATCTCACATTATAGTAAACTGGGAAGTTTATCTTTTGGCACGAATAACGAGAGCTTAAAGACCTAGAGCAGCCGCGTGTTTCTGTGCTTTTAACCTGAGATCTGCAATACTTGTGTTTTTGTTGCTCAACCTGTCGGCAGCCATGAGAGCTGATAGACTAAAGGGGTGGGTGGGAGAGGGATAGAAGAAGAAACTTGGATGGGGGTGTGTGCCATGTGCAACCTGCGCTGCAGCAGCAGCGGCTACCGAATACTGATGAGCAGCTGCTAAAAAGGCAGGATCTGCGTAAGGCAGATAATGAGTAGTTGGCACCAAGTAGCGTTCTTGTGGCAGCCTAGGTGGCGTGCTGCTGACGTTAATATAGGGTGCAATCCGAGAAGACTCGATAGGTGTACTAGCTGCCATCAGTAAATCTGGAAAGTAAGAATAAAAGAATGTCTAAGTTATATATAGTTGTGTACAACTTAAAACAAAACTGATAAACATATAAAACTAAAATAAGCATGTAAAATTAAAATATAAGAAACTTAATAACACGACTAATATTATATCGAAAGAAAACGTATAATAATTCTAATCAGATCCATAAAGCCCGATATAGAAAAAAGTTTTGTTAACTCAAAGTTGATATTAAAAATATCAGTTTGGATGTCTGCTACATTATTTCTCACGATAGTCATATGAAAATTAAACTCATAAAATTCTAGTAAGATGTCTTTGTCTGTGTTAACATGAATATATTAAGAAATAACTATTTAAAATACGATATGTTGTCATCATTTTGTTTTAATTACACTGGTAAAAGATAAAATACTTTAAAAAAGTTGTTTAACCTGAATGAAGTAGTATACCCAGATAAACATGTAATTTCAAAATAGCAGGAAAAAAAACGTTATACGTTTTGGGTTTTTCGTCTTTTTTATGACGACACCTTTATAAAGTTCCCATTTGAAATGTGCGTAACAGGACATATTTTAATATTTTGCTAAAGGCGTGTAAACGAATATACACTGATAAAATTGAGTGTTGTTTTTGGAATGGGATATATATATATACAAGAACAGAAAAATATTCACATAATCGAAACTATTAATCATATATGACGAACGGTATCAAATCTCTACTTTGAAAAATAAACATCAGATGACCTTAAACTCAAAATCATTTCATTAGACGCCCAATACTTCGCCATGTTGTTTCTTTGGGAAGTTACTTTGCAGAAACAAACAGCACGATTTTGGGCATGTTAATAAATCTTTTTAAAGTTCACGATCGTTTGGAATTCATCGTTGTAACGTGTTTTGTTCGCTCCTTGACTAGCAAATACTGAAATACAATGAACCATGAACTTATAATGTGCTGTAAATTAAAAAAAAAGTAACAGAAAAGGATTTTATATTCTACACGATGAAATAGAAGATGACAAGGATCATGGGTATCTTTACAGTGCATTCTATTTAATCTCTAAAACATAAATATATGTTCATTTATAAGTTCTTCAAATCAACTTCTCAACATACATAATTTATATTATTAACTACATTATGAAATATCAGCTCGTTATTAACTATTTCCTAACATTCTGCGAATAATAGTATTTGGTTCAGTTGTTTATGAGCACAAAGCTATAAAATGGGCTATCTGTGCTCTGTTCACCACGGGTATCGAAACCCCGGTTTTTATCGTTGTAAACCTACAGATTTACCGATGAGTCTCTTGGGGGGGGGGAGTAGGCTGTGGTTAGTAAAATATAGTTATGAATAGCCTGTTGGTTAATTCCGTGTATCCGTCACCATTTATTAAGAGAAAAATCTAATGCTTGTCAGTTACTTTCTCATAAAATTCATCGATGAGTAAAGGATAAGTCCTGATGTTCTATGGATTAGTGTTAGCTACTATTTACTCATTAATTAAATATATTTCTTCTAAGTTATAATTTAACTTAATGTGACATTCATGGATGTTCTATCATTTATCATCACGTCATGCTAACTAATGAAGTTAGAGAAATTTTCCGTTTTCTATAGTTTCACGTGAGCGTGGGTATCCGATATTCAGAACTGGTAGTTCATTGCAATTTTCACTGATTGTTTTATTACTATAACATTAAATAAAAAGAGGATTCATGACCTCCAGGGTATTGCGGTTTCTTCAGTTCAATTTAAAATTCCGTTGAAAAAAAAGACATTTAAATCAATGTATCGCTTAATTTCAAGTGAATATGATCACAGGTGTAAGCAGTTTGAGCTAACACAGTCTAACATAGTTGGTTTTTGAGGAATCAGAACATCTGTTGTTAGATACGTTGGATACAAAGATCCAACTGATTGACCAATTCACAAACGTATATGTGAAACATGCATTCATTAATAAACTATAGAGCAACACTTTTATAATCAAATGTCTTTAAAATATCTAAAATGCAACTAAATTCAAAATCGAACTCGAACTCAAATCAAACGTAATCTTCGCCTTTAACGAAACGTTCAAGTAAAAAAAAAATGCAATGGACGAAAAACTAATTGCGGTATGCATTGTTTTATTATTTTGTAAGTTGTTCTTTCTAATTCTGTATTACAAGTTTGGTCGATATACAGCATTGTTGATGCAGTATATTAACGGATGTAAACATGAAATCTGGTTTTTTCTTTGTAGTTAGAATACTGCTAACTTAACTGAAATGTGGTAGGAAATTAAAAAAGTTCTAACTTTTGTTCCTAGTGACAGTTACAATTTAGGCGAATCAATCAACAAGAATTCAGGTCCTGTAATAAGCAGATGATGAGATACTGTCTAGTCAGTGTTCAGATACCTGTATAGACTAAATATGACTAAAGGAGTTATCTCTGTTTATACTTTAACTCACATGGAAAGAGTGAGACTCGAATTAGATTTATTTGAAATCTTGTTAATTTTGAGATAATAAACCTATTTTGATATTTGCTAAGAATGAAATTACAGCACGTTTTTTTTTGATAGCAGTATTTACTGCACGTGAATCGGTGCAATCTGTTTGTTTTTATTCAGTAAACTGTAGATGTATTATTTTTTAATACGTCTGAATCACAGGGTAATACTGAAAACCTAGTTCATAATAATTACATTAATTTTATTTATTTGTACTATGAAACATTCTTCGTTTACAGATCCATAATTTACAGCATCATTTATTATGCAAACAAAGTTCTTCTGACAGAGTTTTGTTTATTTGTAACATAATTAGATGACTGTGTTCATGCCTGTCAGTACCGTCACCATGGATAATTTTGAATTAGACTAGAAGAACAACTAGTAATTCTGTGATATCTAGTTTCATGTGATCTTACCCAATTAGTAAAAATTAATTCTTGAACTTATATCAGCTTTACATTACAGTAATTGATTAATAAGTGTTTGTTAATTCTACAATTAGCCGTTTTCGTTGTATATATTAAATAATTGCTATTAATAATATAATAAATGTAATGATATCAATTCCATTCTATCAAAAAGTCTGACAAGGATATGTATATAAGTTTACCTTAAAATCAATGTACTAATATTGTAGGACACTTGACCTGTTTTTCTTTCTGTACCAGCTAATGTCTGTCGTCAACGTAAAAGTAGAAAATCTGTTATTTTCTAATTAGTAGTATTTGTTTCGCAATAAATCAAATCATTACACACTTTTAAAAGGAATATTAACCTAGCAACACTTACTGAAAGTAGTATATAACCTGATAACACTTACTGATAGTAGTATCTATATCCTGGTAACATCTACTCAAAGTAGTATATAATCAGGTAACATTTATTCAAAGTGGTATATACGTCATGGTAAGATCTACTGAAAATTGTATATAGAATCATAACGTCTACTGAAAGTAGTTTTAAAGTGGTAAGATATAAAGAAATTTTTATATAACTGGTGATATAAACTGAAAATACTCAACATAGTTGCGTCTACTAGATAAAACCTACTGAAGAAATAACAATAAAATATTAGATAATATTCAGAATTCACCATTAAAATATCTTTAAGTAATTCAAATTTATACATCTACTGTTAATATGACATAACTTTCTTGAAGAATGAATTTTAATAATGGATATTTTGAAGTACACTGAATATTCTTAATTCGTTTACAGTGCGTGTGACGGTAAATCCCACTATTCGTTGATAAAACAGGAGCCCAAATGTTGGTAGTGGATGGTTTGACGAGCTACCTTCCCTCTAGTCTATCACTACCAAAATTAGGGACGGCTAGCGCAGGTAGCTCTCGAGTAGCTTTGCGCGAAATTCAAAACAAACCAAACCAGTGTGTGTGTGTGTGAAGACTCAAAACGTGCGCTAAGATTTACCCAACGTTACATGAGCTTTTTTTTTTCAGAAAGAACGGAATAAATTTGATATAATTGTAAGCAGTAATTACATTTAATCAGGCTCTACTAATTAGTGACAGGATAAACCTGGGATAATGCTTCTGCCAGAAAACGTGACACAGTTTTTTTTTGTTGTTGTTTCTAAAATGAAGGCATTCAGAACTGACGCGGCCTAGCTGTCCCAGTTGACAGTCTTTATTACATTTTTGTTTTTAACTTCGTTTTAAATGGTGCAGTTTGACCTAAAAATCAAATTTATATAAGAATAATTATCATTTAATCATTATGCTTTCTCTCCAGTGTTTAGAGCTCTATTTTTAAGCACGACAAAAAATTTAAAAACGTAAAGAAAGATTTTTTCTACCTGAATCCATTTGAAAAAAAAATCATATTTAATTTTATCTTTTCTAACAACTCTTTTTCTTTATCACACATGATTCTGTATATGAGGGAACTCTATTTATAAAGTAATGGCTTTGTTAAGCTGATAGAAGATTGTGATAACATAACACGTTTCAAGTAGATTATATGGTCATTTCCATCAGTCATGAAGATACCAGGTAAAATGTTACTTACACGAGACTCTAGCAAACAGACTAGACCCAAATATGCACTTACTTTTCTGCACTTGGCTCTCGTGCTTACGGCACTTGGCTCTTCTGTTTTGAAACCAAACCTATACAAAGGAAAAGTAATAATTATCATTAGAAGTGTCAACTCACGTAACTGTGTCGATGCCGGTGTCGTAAACAAAAGTGTTGACAAGCACGCGTTAGTGAACACTCGCCTCACGCAGCACGCGGTCTCGCGGGGACCATTCCAACACTACACGCGTCAAACAAGGATGTAAGGAGAAGTTTATTATGGACGCACAGAGGCGGTTATTAATCATGTCCTTATCCAGCCCAGACTTAATGACTCTGCGGAAATATCCGCATTTTCTTTCATCAACACGATTGCATTAGCGAGGCCACTTATTACTGATAAATTCAATCTTGTTAAACGGCAATTTGGTAATGAATAGATTGCACTAGACCGTTTAGTCTGGAATTATGTAAATCCCCGAGCTTTGTGCAGACTTAGACAGAATACTGCTTCTCTAATTTAATTCATTCGCCCCCCAGGACCCCGCATCAGGCTTCTAGACTTACTGTCTTAATGATATTACCGATAGCAACTTTCATTCGTTTCTTTTATCCCGTTTGCACGCTGTCGTCTTCTAACGCGGGTGACGCATACAGAGGGAGGGGTTTTCTTGTCAGTGCGTTTGCATGATTGGTTAAGTATGGAAAATCTTCTTCATTATATTAAATCATTTTATAAAATACAGCTACATAAGCAAGATGAAGGCTATCTATCTGGATGTAAAGTAGATATCCCTGAGGCAGCGAAATTCATTATGTTGTTCATGATACAAAGCATGCTTTGGTGGCAAAGGACATACACGTTTCTGTTCATGGCTGATGATAATCTTTTCACATTTGGGAACATTTGTTTATTTACGTAGTCCACTCCACAAAAGGGTGATAAATATTCAAGTTACACTAACAAAGGCTTTAAAAAAACTATTTTAGGTTAAACGCTATATCCTATCTGTAAAACTTTCATTCATGAAATCAGTGCATCGTTGGATGATAGGGTTTACGTAAGAGGGCAGGGTTTGGCTTCTGACCAACAGTAAGAATAATGAACTCCAATTTCAGGATGTTGGTCCTTTAACCAAAAATCGCAAAACAATAATATACTATTTCAAAAAACGCCAAATGAACTTTACCGGGTAATATTATTTCATAATTTTCAGATAAGAATTCCTGTATAAAAATGTTAGATTGCAATGACTTAAATTACAAATTCTTTAAAAATAAGGTTTTCAACAAAGCCAGTATTATTTGAAATGCCAATAGTAAATCGTAAATAGTAAACCGCATTAAGTAAGTTAGAAATAAAGGAAATCAAGAAAACGGGTTTACAGAAATTGTTCATATGTAGTTCGGATGTGACTGTCAGATGGAAGTGTCACGTCAATCATTTTAGTCACGTGTTTTATATGAAGATAATAGGAGGTTTAAATTGTATAGATATATTTCTTGTTACTTGATATATTTTACTCCATTTAATTCAGTAACTGAGAAGCAAATACAATGCTCACGATAATGAGATATTCACAGGTTTTTTGTTAGTGCAAGTTGCTTTACAACTCGGACAGTTTTTAAAGCTAAGGGTCTAGAAGTTGAGACATTTCACATCTGATAAAACAACTTTTGTGTGTACTGTAGATAAACCTGTGAAACTGCAAGTAATATATGGGAAGAAAGTAAGAGTGAATAATCTTTTTATAGCAAAATCTGATAAAACATGGAAAGCAACTCAATAAGACTTATAGAATTTCTTCTTGTTTTTCAGAAACATACTAGTACAGAGATTTATGTTGTTCATGTCCTATTTTGAATAAGTGAAACTCAATTTAATTTTGATTCACATAAAATGTTAAAAAAGGTATATTCGGTAAAGAATGCATCCTTCGAACTTTTCTTTGTTTCGAATTAAGATACAACACGAACCTAGAAAACCTAAACCTATCCGAAATGTCCTTGCTCTTTAGAAAGATTGATTCAAGTCCAAGATAAATTTTCGAGTCAACATCAAAATCGTTCAGAAATTGGACTTATTTCTTAATATATGCAAACGTAATTGTTTTGTAGTATAGAAAATACATTCTAATATTTAATGGTTTATGTACATGATTATGTAAGCATAATTACCTAAAAAATCCATAGATATAGCTATGAAACTAGTCAGTCTTTTGACCCAAAGACATCCATCTGTTATTATAACATTATATGAAATTTGATCTAATCAGGTTCATTTGTAAATATAATGTCACATTATGGCTGGTATACTCAAGTCCGTTTCCTAATATGTTAAACCAAGTCAAATCTTTTCAAATCCATCTTCAAATATTACATGAAGACTGATTACGCATATATTTCTATTATTATAATGTTATATGAAGGCTGATCTTCTCAAGTCCATCTGTAATCACAATATTAAGACTGGTTTATTCATGTTTTCTAGTATTATAATGTTATATGAAGGCTGACCTTCTCAAATTCAGTTATAAATATAATATGAAGACTGCTCGACTCATGTCTTTCTAGTATTATAATGTTATATGAAGGCTAATATTCTCAAACTTAATGATATAAAAAGACTGAGCTACTTATGTTGATATGAAAGTATAATGTTACATGTATTGTTTTACGAATTTTATGATATTATAGCTTTAACTACTAGTGTGCATGTGTAAATGTACTGATATATAACAACTGGTCTGATGGTAAAGAATATAAGATAAACAAATGATGTTTCAGAGTATCAGAGCTAAAGAACAACAACTTTTTTGTGATAATATAGAATATTGAGAGAATAATACTGTTCACGTAATTAAACTTATCAATTATTCGAAGTTTTCACGAAACAGAATTTAAAGAACCTTGTCATGATGTCACTACAGTAAATCGGTTAATTTTACGTTATTCTACCACATAACCCTGGAGTCTATTTTCATGATTAGATAAATTAGTGATATTAAGTGGGCTTTTGTAGCTCAGTGAGGTGCTCTAAAAGATGTGTAAACTCTGTGCTGGTAGCTTGTCATCGTTAAAGCCTTAGTTATAGTCAAATAAACAGATCGTATAAACAGCTGCCGCGCGAATAAGAAGTGTCCGTGGGTTTTTCTGGGGATTTACGAGCATATCGGAAGGAGTGACGGCCGCTAGGTATTGTCGGGATGCGCGTGCTGCCTATCACCCCATGCTCTTCGCTGACCTTTCGAGCCAATTAAGTTGGGCAAATGAAAAGGGTCAGTCTCCTTAAAAGAAGCATTACGGAAACAACGATTTAATCTGTATAAAAGCCAGAGTTAATTGACAAGCTAGTTTACCCATAGTGCCTTCTCTCCCAACAGGCCGTGACAAGCGCAGCGCGATAATACCGTCTCTCTTGATACGCAGTAAATTGTAGAATATACGTTTTAGAGGATGGAGGGTTTTTATAATCAAGATAATGCGTATGATCTTGCCATAATAGTAGCACGGGAAGTTGACTTTATATAGAGCAACTTATGAAATTTACTTTAATTGTTCGAATATTTAAAATGTTTTACTTAGTATAAATTGTAATACGAAATTCTTCTCTTTTCTTCCCCCCAAACATCGGTTATATCTTGTGAAATTCGCTAGAAAATACAGTAGAAGGAACAAGGAGTCAAGATGAAAGATAAAAGTTTCAGGGAACGATCAAAAGCAGTGAAATAAATACTTTGTCCAGTTTATCAAGTCAAAGTATAGAAAACTGCATCTTGTCTTTTGCGGTTAAAATTACATATATCTAAATATGGAATATTCCGAACCAATCAATAGTTTAAGCAATATCTACTTTTTAATACCAATAGTAAGTACATTAGACAAAAAAAAAAAACTTTTGTTCAAGATAAAGTTTGAGAAAATCTAATCTCTACTCCTTCCCATCGTTCAATACTAAAAAAAAAAAATACACTACTCTTCGAGTTGATTATGTTAGCTTCACTACAAGAAGAAGACTGTGCAGCTTTCAAGCTAGTTCATCTGTTTAAACTGTGCTTGTTGACAAAAATACACGTTTTTTTTTCTCCATATAATATAAAGGATTTTTAACAACTTTAGGTTTTTTGCAATAAGTTATTCGCAGAAACTTTGTACGTTTGAGATTTTGTTTACATCTAAACAAGTCGTTTTATTCAAATATTGCGGATGATTTTTTTTACCAAGTTTAAAGGGCTTATCTATCTTTTGCTTAAGAAAGCTATAGTTAGACTGGTTTCATTGTATTCCATCTCTTATCAGTAACTCTGGACTCTATAAGTCTCAAGATGTTAGTATAGTTTATTGTATACTGGTGTTAGGTTAATTACATTTAGAATTTCGCAAAGGCTACAAAAAATGCAGGCACTATAACGTCATCTAAAACTCGTCCTGGAGCATTCCGAGTTTTCTAAAAGGTGTGGCAGATGGTAGTCTAAATTGTAAAAGTGTTGATAGTTTTGGATGCATTTAGAAAGTTTCGTTAAGTTAGGATAACCGCCACTTATATAGCAACTGACATTATGTATAAAATTTAAACTTTCATTAAGAGTGAGACAGACCATTGTTTATACTAATTAGGCTTACAAATAAATTGTGATAAGAGTAAGATAGGCCCTTGTTTATAGTAAATCTGCTTACAACAAATATTTGATAAGAATAATACAGGTCTTTATTTATAGTAAATTAGTTTACAACAAACTTTTGATTAGAGTATGACAGGCCCTTGTTTATACTAAATGGGCTTAAAACAAAATTGTGATAAGAGTAAGACAGCTAGGCCCATATTTATATTAACTCTGTTTAAAAACAACAACAAATTTTTGGTAAGAGTAAGATAGGTCTTTGTTCACAGTAAATGTGCTTACAACCAATATTTGGTAAGAGTAAGAAAGACCCTGCTGTATACTAAATATCTTTGTATTGGATAATTCAAGGCTTTTATTAATAGACAAACAGGCCTTTGCATATAGAAAATCTGTTGGTATTGGATCCATCAAAAATTTTGATAAGAACTCGTCACGCTAAGTTTGTTTGTACTATAGATACAAGAAAGGTTTAAGTGCTATAGAGGCCTTTGTTCTAACTAGCAGTGTTTCTGCCTGAATACATCATGCTTTTGTTAAAAGTGCTATAAAGGCCTTTGTTCGTACTAACATTGTTTCCGCCTGGATACATCATACTTTTGTTAAAAGAGGTTATTTACAAATACGAGCTTTGCTCCACAATATAAGGGTTTGTCATGATCATAGCAAACGTCTCCTTAGGAGTAAAACAAAAGCTTTATTGTACATATAGGTACATTTTAGCTCTGGCAAAATGTGAAATAGACTATGTTCACATTAAAATTACTTGTCTTGCTTGCAGATTCTTGTTTAAGAATAGCTAGAGCCCACATTGAAAGTACAGAACAAACAAGCAAAATAGTTAAGTAGTGGTGTAAGTCTTCCTAGGTCAACCAGATCTATTTATATTTTTGTTACGTGATACGGTTTGATAAAGTATAGATCACATAAATTATTACATACCTGAACGCGAGCTTCTGAGAGCCCTAACCGCTGGGACAACTCTTCCCTCATGAAAGCATCAGGGTAGTGAGTTTCATCAAATAGTCTTTCCAATTCATTCAGCTGCTCCAAGGTGAAGTTGGTTCTGGAACGGCGCTGTTTAGCGGTCTTGGAGGAATGGGAGTTAGTGGTATCCACAGAAGGCGCCGGTGACTGGGCGTTGGATTTGTTATTGTCAATTTCTTGTTTCTCTTCTGGCTTAATGTTTTCTTCTGATAAATTAGGATTGCTGTCATCTTCAGACTGTTCTTCGTGTTCATCAGATGTTTTCTTAGCTTCTTTGTCACTTGATACTGATGGTTTCTTGTCAATTTTTCTCTCTGATGGTGAGGATGGAGTTGATCTAGCCGAAGAAGGAGATTCTGTGGAATTGTGAAAACCTCCTGAATCACTTTTTAATGAATAATCTAAACTAAACTTCCCTGTCATTGTAGTTTGTTTGTTTGTTACGGATTTCGCGCAAAGCTACACGAGGGTTATCTGCGCTAGCCGTCTCTAATTTAGCAGTTTAAGACTAGAGGGAAGGCAGTTAGTTATCACCACCCACCGCCAATTCTTGGGCTACTCTTTTACCAACGAATAGTGGGATTGACCGTCACATTATAACGCCCCCACGGCTGAAAGGGCGAGCATGTTTGGTGTGACGGGGATTCGAATCCGTGACTCTCAGATTGCGAGTCGAGCGCCCTAACCACCTGGCCAAACCGGGCCAATCATTGTAGTAAATGGGTCCTATTTTATTTCCACAAATATTGGGTTTATTCGTGACAATTAGCAAAGAAACAACAGTCACTGAAATTAAATAGTTATGACGGTGTGATTAAAATCAAGTAAGTTTAAAAGGTACTTTCTAGTCTTTTCCTAGAAAGTGTTATTGGTATTTTCCTTCTCTTACAAAATAATACGTTTTAAAGTTTATATGTTCTGTGCATGGAAAATAAGAATGTTTGAGGAAGATATATGACACTTTGGTTATTGATGATAAGCATAATAGACAAACAAAAATACATTCTAGATTCTGTTACATTAGTCTATTTCTACATCGTTCTGTTTACTACATGTTATTCATCAGTTGATTGAAGTGTAAGTTATTATATGGGCAGTGATATTCGTCCAATCCAATTACTGATCCTGGATAAAGTGGTTATAGGTACGTTATATTAAAGGCCAAATCCGACATGACTCGTCGGAGCGATTAGTACCATTTAAACCATACACGTCTTACGTGATAAGTATGGCTAGTTCATCGCCTGATTTCACACACTAAAAGTAGCCACGTCATATCTTCATGATAAATATAACATCTTCCCAAAATCACATAACTGGCTAAATATGTGTCCCATTTCGAATGTTATTCGCATTACAAGGACGATTTCTTAGTCCAGATTTAAAGGTAAGCGCAGTTAATTATTTAGATTAAATATTCCTATCAATCTTTAAAATGAATTAAATGCTATTCTGAACAAATCACTCCACCAATCTACCATATAGGTGAAACACAGTTAATTCTCGTCCTTGGTGATCAAATCAGGTATTACTACTAATATTATTATTATTACTGATATTATTAATATTCTTACAAACCTCATCGAGGAATCGAATACGATTTTTTAATAATTTTTACTGAGTAACAAATTTTCTATCAATGTTATTTGATGACTGGGATATCATAAGTATTTAATTCTGCTAAAAGTCGGATATCAGTACTGTTGAATATACTTTATCTGCTATATTTATATCTAAAATTTTATTATTGAATATATTTTCAGCTTCGTAGATGACTCAGATATTAATCAATGTTTGAACCAAAGTTACCAGTAAGTAAGTTACAAGCCTCCAAGTGACACAGCGGTATGTCTGCAGACTTAAACGCTAGATATCTGGTTTCGATACCCGTGGTGAGCAGAGTACAAATAGCCCATTGTGTATCTTTGTGCTTAATTACAAACAAACAAACAAACGAGTATGTAACAATTCTTATCAAATACATTTACAATCTAATTGATTAATTAAATGTATCTTTCAAAATTATTCTAATAACTTATGTGGAATATTAAATAACATTATTGTATTTGACAAATGAGAAAATAGATATTTCAAACTGCAACTGAAAAGTAATATGGCGCGAACAATATTGCACTACTTAGACTCTGAGATCCGATTTAAAACCAGATCCTGTTTAAGATCCAGGAGGTAGAGATGAGTTCTGCAGTTTTGAAGTATTTCAGCTGTTATCAACTGATGTAGATTGATATTAGAAAATGTTTATTCAATGTAAAGGCAGAATCTCTACCTTTTGGATCTTAAATACCAAATGTTTAATCAATGTAAAGGCAGATGATAAATTTTAAAACAAAGAGCCTCTACCTTCTGGATCTTAAACAAAAGTTGTTTAATCGATGTAAAGGAAGATGATAAGCTTTACAAGGAGGAATTGTTCATAGAATGGATTTTCTTCCCAATGTGTTTCATATTATACTCCTTAAAAGGGAAAATATTAAGAGTAAGTGAATGTTTAATCTGAACAACCTTAAATGTCTCTCGTGTTTAAACACATGTGCGTTAACAAATTTCACATTTGTGTTGTCTACTTACGTGGAACAAAAGTGGAAATGTGGTTTACGTTGTTAAAGTAACGGCGAATCGTTGGGAATATGTTTAAAAATGTTTGTGAAGTGAATGAGTGCTTTAACTGATCCAAGTGGCAGTTCTTATTACGTTATCAGATACTGTTCTTAATGATTATAATTGCTCATTAAAAAAGGTTTAGGCTTGTTAAATATATACTTCGTAAGAGGTGCTACAGTTTTAGTATTATAAGACATGGTTTGGAAGGAACAATTTCCTCAGTTTTTATTCACGAGCTCAGAGTAAATCTGATATACAAGAATGTTATTTTCGTTGTCCACTTTATTTTAGAAAGTGTAAACTGATTTTATGTTAAACTAATGTATTTATAAGAAATTAAATAAAACACTGCCATGCTGTTTTATAGTATCATAGTGATCCTAAAGCTGTTTCCAATAGGCTTTTTTAACACTTATGACTGTATAATATTTTGCATGTGAATGAGTGCTATAATTCCTTTATATTTACCAGTCTTTTTAATGTATGTTCTACATACATGAGCAATTTTAATAGTACACAATGACATTCCAGCTTTAGCTATAAATCTCTAGTTTTATCTCATTCTAGTAACTTTTATATTCAATCATGGCTTTACTCACAGAAACAAAACAAAAAAGGCAATTTGACTAAAATAAGTAGATGTAAAAAATACTGAGCTCTTTGTCTCTGTTCTCACCATTCAAGCTTCCTTCTATAAAAAGAAGAACGCCAAAAGGCATATTCAGCTTACAGCTTTAGTCGATATTTGACAAATCACATTGCATGTTTTAAAGCAAGCAGCTTGCATTTATGTCTGCTTGACACCAAGTGTTGTCAATTTTTCACATCGATACAGGCGCTTTAGGCCCTTGGGCAAATTCAAGCCCGCTTTCTGGTATAATAGCAGGCTCCCGGAAGTCATCCTCATCTTCAGCTGCCATCCTTGATTTGGTTTCCACTTCGGTTTCCTCGACGTTTGCATATTAGCGGATATTAATTCCCCACGTCTAGCTGTCTGGTGGTAGGAAAAATAGCCGGAAAACGGCCTACAATAAATTGGTAGTGACGTGCTGTCGATATTGTATTGTCTATCATTAGATCTCGATGTTTTACCTAAACTTCATACATTTATAATCAGAATGTATATAGTTAGACCTGATTATGTACAATAAGTGAATGGATTTACATAATTTGTTATTGTTAGCTTCGAAACCTAAGATGGAGAAATGTGATTAATACGCTTTTGGTAACGAATATTGCTTTTTAGGTTGTACAAATATTTGTATCAATCAAATGGGTCATAATTTGAATAATCACATATATAATTGATAAATAACGTATCTAGATTTTTTTCTCACAAAGGATGAAAAAAAAATCATAATTCTACTGATATTTGAGAAATTTGTTTGTTTGTCCTCTAACTCTTCCTAGGCTTTTGCATTTTGACCCGCTAAATATGGTTTAATCAACTAAGAATGACTCGGGGTGCGTCAAGAAGTTGTTTTCTTGATTAAAATGCATAGACTTCATAGCTTCAGTGCTGGCTTAGTATAGATTAGTCAATGGAGGTGCCCACGAGGGGTACTGGGTACTTATGAGATTTCTCCAGCTTTCTCTTTCATTACATGGGGTATACGTATAGTCAGTGTACTTTTAGTTCTTACTGGCATGTGTAGGACAAAAACAGAAATACTATTTATATTTGTAATTGGTAAAACATTAATTTCGTTTTCAAATCTCGTCAGTCATTTGAGGGATTTCTTTCTTATACATTGTTTATATATACTTTCAAGATAGACACACTTACATTAGGCAAGATGTTTATAAGTCACGTGTTACTTAATGTTTTTTTGATAAAAAAAATTAAAATTGAAAATAAAATGTTATTTAAATAATCAAGCTTAGTGGACACGAACAATTTTATTCATATGTACTTTCAATCTTTATATTGCCACTGGCGTATGTTTTTTTGGGAAGAGAAAAAAAAACTTTCATAAACCTCTCACGTGCACCTCACGGGTACGTCTGCTAGTAGATTTAAACGAACCATTTAACATGAAAGACTTTCTCTTGAAAAGAATCTGTTATCTTCCATGTTGAAATGGACACCAATAGTAAAGAGTGGTAATTATTTGGTGTGATATGTCGTGACAGTAAAACTACGATAGTATCATTTTTTACTAGCCCAATAAGTGTTTCCAGTAAAAAGAGTGTATGATAGCGTTTCAACCACAATCTGTGGTACGTCGTCGCAACTCAAACACAATTTTTGAAGTCACTTACGAGATATAAGGTCTTATAATGTATAATGGCTAAGCTGGTGAAGCATGATCCTTTAATAGCTAATAATGTGTGAAATTGTTATCAATCCAGTTGTGATGTAATATCATACACGCTACTTATTATTGGGCCATATGCTTTGCCAGAGTAGACGTATAAGTACAACATGCATAAAGATCAAAGTTTCGTAAAATTAATATATAAGATGATTCTATTTCTCTTATATAACCAATAAATGTTTACAGTTAGGTTTCACGTGAAACTGAAAAGACAGTAGCAGCAGATTTCACGAGGCTAGAAGAAATCGAATTAAAATTTGTTCATAAGATTAATATAAAACAAGAACATGTATACTTTAATAAGTAAAGCTGGTGCAAACCTTCTTTAAAATATTGGTAAAGACAGACGAATTTGTTACCGTCATTTAAACTAAATATTTGTTTTATGACAGTTCCCTAATTGATTAATCAACACCTGTTTCCATCAATATCAGGTTACTTCCGATGAAAGAAGAAAGTTGAAGAGAGGTTTTTCCTCTAATACCAACACTTCCGCTAGATAACTAGCTCCTATATATAGTGAAAATTTCGTATAGTGAACATGGTGAAATAGCTACTAACAACGCCCCGAGTATATTCTAGATAAGCAGTTATGAATGAAAATTCACAATAACCCGTTACTTTACAATATTGTTAATGGACACGTTCATACGTGCCTCACCTCGTTATAGTGATTCAATATTTTTTTTATATGAAAAACTTCCAATTGTTTCTTGATTGTTGCTATTTTTATACCTTGTCCCCTGTATGGCCTCTTTCTTGTATGCTAACTTGAATATTTTAATTTCAAACAAGCTGGTTATTTCGATAATACTTTATTCGTATAATTTTTACTATTAAATTATTAATTACAAAAGCAAAACCTGATACAGACATATGTAAACCTGGCTCATTGCACGTGTCTCTTTACCAGCTTTACTTATATTCCTGAGGCTAAAACAGGAAAGCCACATTGTCTTTAAGGTGAGAGTTGAGTTGGTGTTTGATTTGGTTAATAAAATAAATATGAAAATGTGTAATACAGATCAAACGTTGTGGATAAACTGTATAGTTTACTCTACAAGAAACTTTAAAAAAACATCCGCACATGATGGCTATTTAATATGGTTAATAAAATAGATATGAAAATGTGTAATACAGATCAAACTTTGTGGATAAACTGTATAGTTTACTCTACAAGAAACTTTAAAAAACATTCGCGAATGATGGACTATTTAATATGGTTAATAAAATAAATATGAAAATGTGTAATACAGATCAAATGTTGACTAACCGTATTACTTGATTGTATACGACAATTTCAAAACAGCCGCGCATGATACCAAGTTAAGATGGCTAGTGCAAAATATGAAAGATTGTGTACAGGAATCCCGCCAGGAATTCTAACTATTCAAACTTAACTGCACAGTCAGGATATTTTATTGTACTCGTGAATTATATTGTAATGAACAAACTATATTTGCTAAATGCCATGGTTTCACTTCAAGAATTGTATAACTGCGGCCGAAAGTATCGTTAACAGCGAGGGAATCCAACTAATGAAACAATGCATTCCAATCTTTATAAGTAATAACGTAAGAAAAGTACATTTAATTAACTGTGTTCTCGTTACTAGGTTGATGTTTTAGTTTTGCTCTCAATGGTTAGCTTGCTTTGATTAAAGTTAATATTAATACCTGAAGTGATGTTTCAACATTAACATTTACTACTCTCCACTTTATAATATTCGATAGAAATTGTGCCTTGTTTACTTATGTTCTATCAGTTCTCCTGTTAGATGTTCTAGAATGTAGTTTTATCATTATCTCTACTGTACTTCAGAATAAACAATGAACTGTTTTATTTTTATCTCTACTGTACTTCAAAGTAAATAATGAACTGTTTTTTCATTATCTCTACTGTACTTCAGAATAAACAATGAACCTTTTTATCTTTATCTCTAATATACTTCAGAATAAAAATGAACTGTTTTATCATTATCGGAGTAAACAATGAAATGTTTTATCATTATCTCTAATATACTTCAGAATAAACAATGAATTGTTTTATTATCATTACTATTCTACTTCAGAGTAAACATTGAGCTGTTTTATCATAATCTCTACTGTATTTCAGAGTAACCTGCGAACTGTTTTTCTAGACTGATGATACATTACTTTGATAATTGCTGAAAAACGCATATTTTCTTACCTTTTCTATTTCGAGAATCTTCATCATCACCACAACTACGGCTACTGACTGCCGGACTAACCATTGCTGTTGTGGTCAATGGTGGTAAGAGCGGAGGATTAGGAAACCCTGGGGGAAACAAATGGGGGAGCATTAGTCTATCCACCACACTGTTCAGTCCTCTTGGACCAGGGGGATGCAGAGAGAGATGACTTGAAAAAGGGTGGACAGGGGCTAAACATGGATGAGGAAGAGACGTAGTCAAAGTCGGGCGATCACCAGTGGTAAATGATTTGGACACAAATTCTGCCAACTGTTCCATATTAGAAGTGTTCAGCTTCTTGTAAAGCTAAATGTTTAGTATAGTATGAAGCTTTACCGAAGTAATCAGTGTTTAGTCTTCTAAAACGAAAACAAACATCACGACGTAATTATTCAGTGGATGTAAAATTACAGTTGTATTATTTAGGTTTTCTAGGATATGATTCAGGTAGAACAACAGGCCACAGTAACAGTAAATTTCTGAATATTCTTTCTTGTTGCTTACAGAGTTTTGCCACACAGTTCGATCTAGAACCTCTCACGGATTTGTTCAGAACAGTAGTATTTTCTTCTAAACCTAGATTTTCAGTTGTCAAAAACTATTTCTACATTTCTTATAAACCCAACCTCAACAGCCGTTTATAAAATGTGCTTTGATGCTTCCAAACTATCAGGTTAGAGTAGAAATTCACAAGACTGTTTAAGTCTGCAATAGATCAAGAGAAACTTTCAGAATGTAACCTTAAACTTCCAGTGAGTTTGGTCGAAATATCAGTTCCCAAAATCTTCTCTAAAATTTCCAAAATACTCTCTCAATAACAAGAGTTCTCAAAATATGTCATTACATTCTACATCAATCTAGTCAGAATTCTCGTGGATTAGGTTAAAATTTGATTGACCGTTGTTGATACGATTTAAGTGACCACGCTATCTCTCAATGGTGAAATATGGAGTGACCACGCTGTTACTGCTTCCACGTCACCATAAATCACACTTACTGGAATTTCCGTAACTTTGTTTTAATAGGGATGATGCTGTGGTTTGTATTCACTGGCTCTCTTCTGCTTGTCGTTGTGTATCTACAGGAGAAATTCCACTCATAACCCCGTACTTTTATACCTCGTCTGTCAACCCCGCGCGCCTCTAATCATATTATTTCCCGCGTGTTTTCCATGCTTCCCTTCATCTCGACGACCCGCCACTAGCGCCGCTATTGCTGATTGGACTCTGCCCTCCAATTTCAGTACTGGGCAGGCGCTCCTCGTGGGCCGGTGTTTGAAGTCCAGCGCCCATTGAAGGTGCTTGAAGTTTTTCACGAAAACGTCGTGTTATAGATAGGGTGATATCTTTCTAAGGCCTAATGTGATGAAAGTGAAGAAAAAGGTATGTTTTTACCATGTTTACATTTTGTATGTATTTCTTAATTTAGCTACACTTAAAATCCATAATAAATTGAAAGATATGTAATAAAGTAAATCTTATTATTGAATAAATTGATATATATCTACAAATTGTGTCTTCGTAAGTAGCATCAAGCTTAATGGTAAGTGTAGGTTACATATTTCCAAAAGTAAAAAAACAAAGAAACTTAGCATAGAAAACGTCAAGTAAGGAAACTTATGATGCATAACATTGAATAAAAAAAGAAACTCATGATATGATTTATAGAAAATATGTAACATATAATAGGATAATTTGTAGAGCATCATCTTTAAAAACTATGCGAAACATATTAAAAGAACTTATGCTTTATTAATTATAGAAACTAAGAAACATAATCTATGAAAACTATAACACATTAGCTGTGGAACTGTGCAACATATGCTAGAAAACTCTCGTGTTGTATCTGTAGGAACTAGAAAACATATGGTTAATATACTATCTATGGAAACTTTGTGATATATAAATATGTATCTTAGGAAAAATCCTGGATCCCATCTGTAGAAACTATGCAGCATATACTAGGGGAAACATGTATTACCTATTTAAACCATACAGCTTGTGTAACGAAAATTTGAGATGTCAGGACCTATACAAACTACGCACAATAAGCTAGAAAACTTTTAATGTGTTATTTATAGAGAATATGTTTTCTTATGAACCCCAACTAATGTTGGGATTTACCAGCTTCGCTGACATAACAACCTGGATTTGGCGCAGCATAGACATAATAAGATACTGGAAGGCTTTGTATTCGATCCTAATTTATTCTTCGTAGTCACTGGTATGCAGCTGATACACAGACGTTGACAGAAAATTACATTATACAACGCTATATTCAAGTTCATCCCGAAGATGCTCAATCAGATTGAGATCATTTGGCTATATTGACTAACAAATACGAATGAAGTCGCTATCATACTCTCTGAACCAGTTTTATCTAAGCAAAATCTATAGATTGTTGCATTATTTCTTGGAAGAGATATTATCCATTAAAGTGGAAATTCTACATTCAACAGTGCTTTATTATCAAAAACGCTTGTGTATACTCTGGATGTTACTTTCCCCTCTAAAGGAAATAGAGGCCCAACTTCCTCTGCTACGAGAATGACCCCGAAACAACTCCAGCAGCTTACACTTTTGGAACAACGTAAGTAAGGTCAAATGTCTCGTGTTGTTTTCTTTACATATTGCTCAAACATCATTGCAGCAAAGGGTAAAATACAGAAAACACACACACACACACAAAGTTTCCATTTATTCAATTGCTTATATATTTACACTTTAAGCATATTAAAGCCATGTTTTCCTTTTGTAACTTGGATAAGCGCTTTTCAGGCAGGTCTTTATGCTAGTTTGATGGTGGTGCGATTGGAGCTAACTGTAACCAAAAAAAAAAAGGAGTCATAATCGGACATCTTTTGAACCTAACAAGTGTGTCTAGTCGTCTCATTTCCCTCAGTCAGTAACCTACGGTTAGCAACTATAGTCTTCCTGTTACTAAACCTTCCTACTGCATTTCAATTGCTGATAGTGATAGACACTGATGACAGATGTCTTTGGACAAATAATAATAAAACGATAAGACGAGCACCCACAATCAGGTCCCTTCGAAAACTGAAGAGGTTCTTGTACTTATTCATTATCGTGATATGTCTATGCATTTATGGCATTCAAGCGATCACTTGACATATCACAAGATCAGTCTATTTTGCATATGCTATGTGGGAGATCCACGTAAAATGGCTTGTCAATGTACATACAATAGGCTGTTATATATTTTATGTAATATAAACCGCATCTGTAGAAACTATATAAATATGCTAAATAAATTGGTGTTTATTATCTTGCAAATTTTGTAACTTTTACTTCGAAGACTTTTATTATACTATGTCTATTGTCGAGATATGTAAACAATTAAATTTTTTCAAAAAGATTTTCATGGTTTTCTTACCCCTTAACAAGAAGCATAGACTATTTTTTTGTCTTGTAGATAATATATTGTTTCAAAAAACAAATTCTGTACTTATTAGAAGTGACCTCTACATAAGTGTGTTACAGAAAACGAAGAACAGATTATTTGGTTGTTTGGCATATTTTGCTTTTAAACGATAATACAATGATAATGTTTTAAAATATGTTGTATTCTGTGTTAACGGCCAAGAATCCAAGGGGATTTTCATGATTAAGAGAGCAAAAACAGCAAAATATATAACTACGGAGTGTTCACCTATGATTACATTAGTGTAACTTTCGAAAGTTCATAATTAACTTCTTTAGTGTAATTTCAAAGTGTTCACTACTCACTACATTAGTATAACTCCTAAGTTTTCTCAACTGACTACATTAGTGTAATTTCCAAGTGTTCAAAACTGTCTACATTAGTGTAATTTCCAAGTGTTCACAATTGACTCTGTTAATGTAATTTCCAAGTGCTCACAGTTGACTACATTAATGAGTCATATTTGCTGAAAATCTGAAACACAATGAGTCAATATAGATCTATGGGCTCACTGATTATTTGTTTATTCACAACTATTGGCACACCCCTCATAGTAAGACGAAATAATAACAATATTAATACGAGTAAATCGATATTTATTGATAAATTTACTACAGTAAAATAAAATATTATGAATCAATATTAAACACAGGTGAAAAGTACCCTTAACTTGCACACACAAAGATACTTATATTAAGATGTAAGTAAAAGTTTAGCTGAAAATTAGCCAGTTAGGTTGACATCATGGTTTTTGAGGTAAACTAGTCAGGCAATGTAAAATGTACAAACAGTAAGTAGCATTATTTTTTACCATCAATACTAATAATCAAGGCCTATAACAGTTGGATAGAAAGACATATTTGCTAAAAAATAGTACTAAGATGTTAAAGATTAATAGGTATTATAGAACGATGTAACATAATATGGTAATTATTATATTCTTTTAAAACTTAAATAATATTATATGAAGATAAAAATATATTTGTTTGGTATCCAATCTGTTAAATAATATTATAGTTTAAAAAACTTTAAAGATTATAAGAAGATGTATTATGTTTATTTAGTTATATTATTTATTGAATTAATGTTAACTTCTGATCTATATAGGTAGCTGGTTTTGATTAGTAGTAAATGCTAATTAACTGTGTTTAGATATTGGACAATTAGTATAATAGCATAGAAAGATACACAATGCTATTTGTTTTGTACCTTCGATATATTAGCTGTAGGTGTTAAAGATAGTATGATAAAGTTAGGTAATAACCTGTTTGTTAGTAGAAAAGTTAAACCATAACAACTAGCAGTATCTCAGATAATACCTGTTTGTCAGTGTTAATGTTAATTATTCACAACTAGTAGTACGACAGATAATACCCGTGAAATCATCATATCTAACAGTACGATAAACAATACCCATTTATTAGAAGGAAAATGAAATAATCAGAACTAGTAGTACGACATATAATACTTATAAATTTATGGCGATTAATACTTATTTATTAATACCCATGTGAAGACTCTATCACTAGCATCACTCCTCTACTTAATACTTGGTTAACAAGTAAGATTTTTTTAAATGCCTACATTATAATTATATTTCCTACATTTAGTCACATATGTGAAAGTATATTTAAATACTATTAAAACGGAACAACATAATACATGAAAATTGTCCTTTAGGGTTGCTGTCAAGGTCAGCCACCCGAGTGTAAAAATTCTTGGTTAATATAAAATACCCGAGCGGCCAACTACAAACCTAGATGGGATTAAGATCGTATGAAGAAGAAGATCATACATGAGATTTAGTTATATCTATATTATTAAGAAAGTATGTTTTCATGTATAAAGTTTTATACATTATTTGTTATTATTGAAATTTATCTTTGTACGTGACTCGTTGCATTAAATTTTATAACATTTAGACAGTATAACTTTAAATACTTTAATAATTTAAGAATGCCGATTAGAATATTATTAAAACATTATACTCTCATTTAAGAAGCTCTAAATTACAGAATTAAATGTTATAAAAACGAAGATATTTTCATATATAAGATAATCTCACATTAGATATTATTATTCATAGATACTTAATTACCGACTACATACAAATATTAAAACAGAACATCCCCATATATAAAGTTAGTATGTAATACCAATACAGTCATGTCAGACATATGATCACTTTAAATGTGTGACGCTAAGATGTATTCGATATTGTACCGCACACTTTTGCATGACTTTAGGTTGTATTAGATAATGGTTAAACAGTATAGTCGTAAACACTCTGTATGTACATATACAGGAGTGCATAACGCTTGTTAATATCTAATGTAACCTAAATATAAGCACTAGATTATTTTGTTTTAATAATATTGAATGTAACAAATATTTCATTATAAAATACAGTTTTAATAATATTAAATAACGTTAGCTATCTTCATACGTGAAACTGTACTGTTTTAAGAACATTTATTGTAAGACATCACATAATAGTTTACTTCTTCACTAATATTAATGCAGCTCAACACAAGCACATTTTATAATGTAACAAACTTTTTATTTATGAAAGATACTGTTGACAATATCTAAAGCTAAACTTAACTTGATACATAAAAATGTATTGTTGTGATAATATCTAATGTAAATTAACTCCAATCATGAATTAG